ATGCTTTTGAGAAAAATAAATTATAAGGAAACCTAAAATAAAAACATCCAGTGGTATCATTCGTGATCTGTGACTATAGAAATCTACATCATTATTACGGTTTTCAAAATTCATGTGGCAATTAATTTTAAGACTGAAATCAGATTTTTTAACTGAAAAAAAAATTTCTTCGCGAAGTCTTAAAATATATGTAGCTGGGTATCTCTGTCACCTATCAGTATTATAATTCATTTTGTCTTTCTGCTTGTACTTAATATTTCTTAATAGCTCCTAAGTTGAGACAAAAAGCAACAAATATATTTACATTTATTATACATTATAATGCATACATTAATAATTAAGCAGCAAGTCAGTTAATCTAAACTATATTGCACGTAGCTTTTTAGTGTTTTACGTAACTATTAAGTAATAATTCTTTAACGTTTTAAAATAAATAAAGTTAAATAAACTTACTCTTTAACTCCTGACCGTCTGGAGTACATTTTCCTTTATCAAGTATACAGTTCTTGTAATTTTTGAACAGTCTTTCGTTAGTCAAAATCCTGTCGATATCAATATTATCGTATTTAGTGGTATATTTTTCACCATCGGCTCTTTTAACCCTCTCAACGGCAACTGCCCCAATGGTCTTCTGATGATCGATGAAAAGGATGAAGGCAGCAATCGCGCAAATAAACGAAACGTTGGCTTTGTACATCGTTTACAATATTAATTAAATGTCTAATCGTTGTCGAAATATAATTAACTTCTACGAGAGTAAAATCTACTTTATGTACACTTAAGTACACAAATAACAAACGTGTAAAGATGAACCATTAACTAACAGGTTTTGCAATTTCAAGGCGGACAGGCCTTTTATTAACAGCGATGAAAGTACCGAAACGACGAAAGGTCAAAAAATGTAATTAAGAAATAATGACTCTGTGATATTATTACGTACATGAGTACGTTAGATGCCTGATGGTAACAATGGCAGCGTACGAAACAAATGAACAATGTTTTAATGTAAATCAAAAATTTGCTTACAATTCGAATAAGAGAACTAAATTTAATAGTTCATTCAATGTTGCTTTTATTGTCTCTTTTATTGAGGGCTTAATATGTAGCCATCAAACTTGATTACTACAAAGAAGCTATTACGTTATTTATGACAATTAGCATTTTCTTGTTTTTAAAGTTAGTTATTGTTAATACTGCAAGTATCCAAGTCGTGTCAAACCTTCTGAAATTGATCGCACACAGCTCCGAATCAAGTCAGTACAGATGTATAAATGTTGATTCGCATGTCATAATATTAAAATGTTCGTTTGAAAATTTAATAATTAAAAGTTACTTTTTAAACATACATTATTTAAAAAGCAATTTGTGCAGTGATTTAAATGCTCTCACCGTCTAGGTTTCGAACCCACACTGAGCCGTGCTCCAAACAATCTTCCGAATTTCTAAATTTATTAAGGTGACCAACTATACTCATTTACTGAGTTTTGTACTCTTTTTTCGCAAACCGTACTCTTTTCAAATCCTGTACTCTGAAAGTACTCATTTGTATAATTTTATACTCATTTGTATTTCTAAAACATTTTTTTAGATTATTTTATTTCAATTTTATTAATTAAATATTTAAAATTATTTTGACAGTGATTTGAATTAATAGAAATTTCCTTATGTTGTCTAGGCACTAATGCTGCTGTTTCACTAGGGAATGATTATTGGAGCAGTGAGAAGTCGCAACTTTCTGTAAAAACATTATCTGCCGTCTTAACAGTCAAATTTAATATGCAAAATGAAAGTTGTTCTGATGTGGCTACATCAATAGACGAACATCCTCATTTAGCAGAAAAAATCCACTCCGAAGAAACATGTTTTTAAAAGAAAATGAAGTTTTTATCGTTTTTTCTTCTTTTTTTTTTTCACCTATGAAATACTTGCAAAGTGTACTCTTTTT